TTACCTACTAAAAATGGTGATGTTCCATAGCTATGTTGAAATTGCCAGAGAGTAACATCAATTCACCAAGAACATCCGCTTGAGCCATGTAGTTTTCCGCCCCAAGAACCTCCACCCTCTGCGGATCGAGGAGAAAGATCGGCTTCCTGTTTCCAGAGTCGGATTTCAGTTAAGACCTGGGCTGATGCGCTGTGCGAAAAGCACGGAGCTCTGCCACCATACGGGGCACATCGAGGCACTTTTTTTGAGGGCAAAGTGACTCAAAATGGAGGATGAAATACATGAAATGCATATGAAATGCCACCAAAATGATGTCTACTAAGTCTAGAATAGTCTAGATACACCTCCTTCCCATTTTGCGTCATTTTGCCAAGCGGATCCAAGCGGCATGCTGCATCAGCTCCGGATCTTCGGAATTGGCCTTGATGTCGCTCTCCAACTCCTCAAGCAGAGTCTTCACCTTGAAATTCACATCCTTCTGAGTCACGATGAACGGCCTCGGCCATGTGGCCATGGTGACTGGAGGAACTAGTCTTGACTAAAGGTTCAATCCAACCATCTGGGGTGGAAGTTGCTGATCTTTCAGACAGTATAGTCATAACTCAACTTAAGTCAGCTTGTTGATGACCAATTGAGACAGCATGAGACAGCCAAACCAAATCCTCCAAGCTCAGCATTTCCAAAGATTTCCAGAGCATCCTTCAACTCTGAGTTCCCGGCACAATGTCCAGGTACTGCCCGGAAAAGAGTAGCATCTCAGCCACCACAGAGAACTCCCGCACACGCAACGCCATGTCCTCGGGGGCAACCGGCAACCCTGGCCATGTGGTGTATCCTGTATCCCTTAAAAAATCGTGGGAAAAACTGACATCCGCAACATGGAGATCATCTCCGATATCCCATCAGTAGTAAACCATCCATGTTGATTTTGCTCAAGTGGAGCCATCTCTACATCATTCAGGCATCCCGGCATCCTATTACCACCCTGCGTGTCCCTTCATCTGAGCTAAATCTCCAGAACGATAAACATGTTTTTCTCAAGATTTGGCCAAGTCATTCTATGATAATCCCATGTTTTTCCCAATATGTCCTCCCAATATGTTCCAAAAATATGACGTCTATAGACGTTAAGCCATTCAACCCGTCATTCTCAATGTGTTGTTTCAAAACAAACAACATATAAATTTATATTATATATATATACAGTATATATATATATAGTATATATACAGTATATATATATATATAGTATATATATATATAGAGAGTATATATAACCAATTTTGCCTCAACATACGTCTCCAATTTCCACCAGCAGCGCCGCCAAGGTGCCAGGCTCGCCTGGGTGGCCCAGCTCCGACTGTCCTTCGCCAAGATCTGCAGCCGCAGCGCCAGCTCCGGGGAGTCCAACAGGACCTCGCAGCGAAGCACCGTGCGGAGGGGACTGTGAAATGGATGTAGTAAAAATAGAGGGTATGTGCGTGATATACATGTGTATGTATATATATATATCATAATATTGTATAGACTTGAGGCCGGGGGTGGATGACGAAAGCTAGCGGGGTAGGAGAAAGAAGGAAGGGAAGAGGTGAGTTGCGGAGGGACTGTCATCATCGTGTCGCGGCATTGTTCGTCCCAACGAGGATGCAACAATGATATATGATATATGATATATAACAATGATAAATATGGGGGAGGGGGCAGGGGGGGGGGCCTTTCGCGTAAAAAATCACGTGATGTCCTTGGGGAGCCCCGGAATACTTGCTAAAGCAAGAAGACTCTAGCGAGCTGACGCTAGCTTTCGTGATAATGCCAATACTTGCCAATAAGGATAAAATGTATTCGAATAGCGATGATGATGATGATGATGGTGACGACGATGACGAGGACGGGGAAGAGGGAGATGCGGATGATGATGACGATGATGATGATTGATGATGATGATGCTGGTGGGGTGGTGGTGGTGGTGGGGGGGGGGTCGGGGGGGGCCCTTTCCCCTGCCCAACTAAGTGATGTCCTTGACAGCCCCCTGAATACGTGCGTAAAGCAAGAAGAATCAGCTAGCTGAGATAAGCTTTCGGCAGATCTATATATATATATATATATTGTATAGAATATATATATATATATATTGTATAGAATATATAAAGAAAGCGATGGGACTTTGGACCTCAATTTGATTTTGGGGGGGCTGCTGTGATTTGTGTTGCCCCTGCAATTCTGGGATTGATTCTTGGCGCAATTGTGGGGTCAACTGTGGATGTTCGGAAGAAAGAAGAATTGGCAAAGATGGATTGCAACTGCCATCCATGCCGATGCCGATTTTGGATGAATTTGAGGAAGGGTTTGGAATTTTGGAAGAGCACAGAAGGTTTTGCGAAATCCACTTCTGAGTGCGCCGCATGATAGTGCAGCAGCTGTTGCAACAGATGCTCTTGCCTGTTTTCATGCATGCAAGCTTCCAACGTCTGACTCAAACAGAATCTCAGAAAACGATGCAAAACCCCATGTTTATCATGTTTGGACCTTTAGATCCTTTAGATGTTTACTGAGTCTACTTCACCCTGCATCTAGAATCCCTTCATGAGGTACCATGAGCATGTCATGTTATGGTCGGTTCAAACCATCACTGATTCCCCTGTGATCCGGCCTGAAGTAGACGCAAATGTCGAAGACAAAGCACTGCAGAATTTTGTGTGGCAAGATTTGAAGTCCCAGCAGACTTCGCAAATAGCTGATGACCACTGACAAGACATATGGGGTCTTGCCTCCTTTGCCCGGATTTGTCACTCGAAGGCTTTCCGGAATGGTCCAATTCTCCAATGCAAAGCTATCGTTGTTTCCAGTTGGAATGCTCTCTTCCAGACCCTCACTCATGACGAAGTGGGGATGGAAGACCAATGTCACCATATCTTTTTCAGACAGCACTGACTGATATGCGATTTGTGCCTCAAGCTCCTGAAGCGAAACCGTCGTTTGCCGCGTACCCGATTTTTGAGATAAGGCTTCAATGACCTGTCGATAGGCCGAGTTCAGAACTTGAAATCCCTGTGCCATTTCCGAGGAGTTGGTCTTGGACACCAAGCCCTTCCGCAGCAGTTGCACGATGTGATCTCTGCATCCCGTTCTCCGCAGCAGCAATTTCAGGACAGTGGCCAGTTCATGCGGTGGCCGCGATAAGAAATCCTCTAAAATGATGCCACAGTCAAGGCGCAACTGATACACCACACCCTTGCTGGCATCCAATACGATGCCACCATCCAAGTAATCCCAGATCACCAACGGGCCCTCGTGAGAGGTCACAGTACCTGACGCTTGGCTGAACGTTGGCTGCGCCTGTCTATTGAATTTTGACATTTGCCCTTGAAGCCAACTCTAGAACTTGGATGAACTTGGGTATCTGATAGGGGTTTAATCTACATAGAAATATGATGCTATCAACAAAAAAAGATCTGATCTGCAAAATCAAAGAAATTCTTGGAGCTTTGTCAAGAGACATGGCGAGATGAGGCTTGGAACGATGTCACGTTCTTTGTGTCGAATATCGAAGATCAAAGCCACCATCCTGGCAAGAAAACAAAAGCCATTTTAACTGTTTAACCTAATCCCATCCATCCCTCACAAGTCACTGAGATGAAATCCAGATAAATCCAGTCGATTCCACTTCCGGAGGACTCCTGTTCATGACTTTGATTCACTTTGATCTGTGGATTCTGTGGATTCTGTGGGCTCCTTTCCAAGCAGTGTACAATCAGCAGGTTGTCCACCACCGACAAACGTAGCGGACCCACTGGCGCGTCACTCTCCGAGATGTCGATGACGATGTCATGCTCCGGGGTGCCTTGCTCCAAATTCGTGACGTTGCGCAGGGACACTTTTCCTCGCCGGCCGTGAGGATCTCCAGGGCAACCATTGGCGGCTCTCAGATATGCAGAAAAATTGTGGTTTTATCATGTTATCTATATGATTATCTTATCTTTTAGAGTCTTAGAGGTTGAGATCTCGTATGATGTATTTCAGAACCATGAAAAAGGAACGATGCACAATTGATGAAAAAAATGTATTGTGGGCCACTTGCGATCTTGTGACGTGGACTTTTTATCATCTTGGGTCTGTACAAGCCAAGCTTGAAAGTACCAGTGAAGAGGATTGGTTGGTTGCCTTCGCACAAAAGCGTCACTTTCCGGCCTTGATTACTTAATCTTTCGCCAAATGGCTTAGAGACCTGCTTGTGGGTGCAAATAAATGTGAGTTTCCAACGAAAAAAAAAAGGATAACATATTATATAAGCATTCATACACACTAACATCCCAGCGGCCAGTCAGGCCATCTGCATGTATGCAGTAGCTGCAGTCGTAAATTGTGACCAGTGCAACATCGGCTGGTTCAATGGAATGGCCGCGAGTCAGTACCTCAGTGACTGGAGACAACTATCAAAAGGAGATCCATGCCGTGGAAGGGAAGAACCAGTAGTTTACTTCAAATCAAAAGTGATATCATTGATATCATCCTTGGGATTTGTTTCACTAAACCCACAATTTCTTCATGTGATAGCCAAGACCTGCCAAGACACAAGGTCAAATCTTGGAAGTTTAGGATTCCTCCTGCGGAAGTCAAAGGGTTGAAGAGTCCGCGTCCCAGTGCAAAGCAATACGGTGCTGGCCGCAGGATCCAACCAACAAATTCGCACAGAAGAGGGGAAGGTCTTCAACGATTTCCAGGTCTTCCTTGGTCAGGAAAAAAAGTGTTTAGATGTGCATCTTCAATTGCTTGGGGACTCAAACATCTATATGTTTGGACTCGGCAAGACCGACCGTTCATTTCGGAATGGCTCAAAATGATCCCGCAAAAATGGATGGTTGAATCATGTTGAATATATGAAAATAGGAGAAAATAGGGTGCATTAACCTTCCATGCCAACAGCCCGTTTCAGGAAAAAACGCCCGTTTCGTTTTCCAAGCTGCTGCTCGAAGCTCAGGCGAAAGATCTCGATGCCGTGAGAACTGACCATGGCCAGATCCGAGTTGCAGTCCTGCCTGCAGACGTTGCAACTGGATGGGTTGGATGTTGGTTGGGAACCGTGAAATCACCAGGTAGATGGCTAGTTGGTGTAAGTTGTTGTGTTGGCTACAGTATGAGTTGTGAATATGTTGTTTCCACTGACATGCTTGGACTAGATGCTGGTCAAATGTCTGCTGGGTTGATGGTTGGACTGATTGTTCATGGAATTGTGCGGGCCGAAGCAAAATCTCAAAAGCAGCGTTAAAACAAATATATTTAGTGGACTGAAGAATGAACCACCATTGCATAAAAGTAGGTGGTGTTTCTTGGTGTTTGGGTCACATGTCACAAAAATGACTGGATCAATTGCCAATTGTCCACCAGCCCGGTATGGACAAATATGTTTAAAAGCGGTGTAAAGATATATAAAATGGCCAACCAGGCATGAACTCAACCTTCCCAACTACCGAGCAAAATTCGTGACACAATGGGTCGGATCATCCACAAGAATACTGGAGTTGAACCGAAGTTGGCCATTCTGTTGAGTACCAAAAGGTCATCTTCCTACGAGCACCATGGTACACCAAGTTGCGGCCCTCCAGGCAGCCAAAAGTAACCCAGAATCTCAAAGTCAGCCTGTGCGCACGGCCATGATTTTTCCTGGTGTGGATGAGACTCTTCAGTAACTAGCAAGGATTCTTTGGGGTCCTGGAAAAAAACAACAAGATTTTACCAGAAGTAAACAAAAAATTAGGTGGGCATGGAATGACCTATAACATCCTATAACCTGAACGCGTTTTCATGATGTCCTTGCTGGTTCAAAATCCTATCCAATGGGGACCAGGCCTTGCTGCTCCATTTGCAGCTTGGCCAAAGAACTTGTTTAGGCCTTGGGGAGGGACGTGATGCCACCATACCAAAGAGCTTTGTACAGAGCTTTGTCCAGAAAATAGGGGCCAGTATCCCAGGTGATTTTCTAACCGACTGGATTTTGAGATCATCTTTGGACGAACCTGCCCAACTCTGCCCTTCTGAGGTTGATGCTGCATCGTCTGGACTGTTCCCACTCGTCTGGACTTGGCCAGAAATGCGAAGTAGAGCCCATCAGGTGAAAATCTCAAAGAATGAATGCCTTCCTGGCGGTCTGGATGACACCAGAATCTGATGGTACCAGGCTTTTGGAAGTCGCCACGTGACAGAACAGAATTGCACACATTATTGCTACTGCTTCGAATGTGTCAGTATTTGCTCTCCAGGGGAATCTGGGTAACTTTTTTCAGAAGCTCTAGTTGAAGCTATCAGTTATCTGCAGGCGGTCCACAGCGAACATTAATGTGGTTCACTTCAAGTTGCTGTCCAACTCCAAAGGGGATATCCTCCTTTGTCCATCAAACATGGCTAGCTGGGAAATCCCCCATAGATGATGATTTTCCATGATTTTCCCATTGATTTCCCATTGATAATCCCCCATAAATGGACGTTTTGATGGGAAAAAGATTCATCAATGGTGCATTGGGTATCCCATGGAGGTCCTGCTCCAGCTGCACGGAGAGGCCATCCGGAGGGGGTTCCCCATCGATGGCACCATCGATGACGTTCACCGTGTCAAAGCCACCAGATCGGATGTGGATGATCCTGGCACCCCCCAAAGGCGGGGGGTCTAGGAATTTAGGAACTGAGAATATCAGAAAATTGTTGCAGTAATGCGATTCTACCAACGGGGTCAATGATACAAGTTCCGATTTTCGGGAGGTCATATTATATAGATGTGTGTGTGTATGTGTGTATGTGTGTGTGTATGTATGTATGTATGTCTGTCTGTCTGTCTGTCTGTCTGCCTGCCTTTCTGTCTGCCTGCCTGCCTGCCTGCCTGTATGTATGTATGTACACGCGCGCGCGCACACACACTAGACAAGAATGGATCATTATATGATCCGGCAGGAACTGAATCCTGAAACATGCAGATTAGATACGAAACAATGAAATTAACGATGCATCCTACGAACGACGAAAATGAAAAAGATTGAGCAGGTACGCGGATTGAGCGTCCCCAATCCATATCACTGTGCAACAGATGCGTCTTCGTTGGATGGAGACATCTGAAGCACACTCCATCCCCCTGCGTTAGTTAGAAAGGGAGAGGACGGAAGGAAGAAAAAGAGAGAAGTTTTACATCTGTTTAGATGTTACACACACACACACACCCGGCCAGAGCCGGGTCAACCCTGAAAGGCAAGAGGAAGAAAAAAGCGGACACACGACGGGCAGACGGCCAAAACAAGTGCAGGGGGGGGGAGGGGAACAGACGGACCTCCAGAACCAACCTACACGGCGAAACGGACCTGACAAAAACAGCGCACACACCTAAACCCCACGACACATTACGGAGAAGCACGCGGGGAAAATTAGGGACCAAATGGGGGACTAGTTGGTGACAGACAAGGAAACCAAAACAATTAGTTAAACAACAGGATTCAGCTCCTAAACCTAGAAGTCGTGCGTTAAGCCACTCCAGGCACGTGGTCAGGTCTTGCCCCAATTGGCATAAAACGGCTTTCAAGTTCAATCGAATTGGATGCACAACATGTTTCACCTCACCAGAAACCAAAAAGACCACACCTGCAGGAAAAGGACATGCCTGTTGCCTGTTGTCTCACATGTCATGTTGAACTTCAAAGCTCGAGCTGCAGTAGTAAAAATGAGGTTTCTGGTAGTTCGAAGTGGCTTCACTCAATAGAGATGCATTCCACTGGGTTCATAAAGGACAGCCGGAAACGCGGGACTTCACAAAAAGGTGCAAAACGGAAAGGCCAACTGTTGCGATTTACTTAGATGAATTACTAAATTAAAATGTGTTAATTCGGCAGTCAGGACAGTCATCACTCACCCTAAAGAGGGTTGCCTCAAATGGCTCCATGGCACCATGTCGGAGCCACCATGGAAATCACACTAGGCAAGAATGGATCATTATATGATCCGGCAGGAACTGAATCCTGAAACATGCAGATTAGATACGAAACAATGAAATTAACGATGCATCCTACGAACGACGAAAATGAAAAAGATTGAGCAGGTACGTGGATTGAGCGTCCCCAATCCATATCACTGTGCAACAGATGCGTCTTCGTTGGATGGAGACATCTGAAGCACACTCCATCCCCCTGCGTTAGTTAGAAAGGGAGAGGACGGAAGGAAGAAAAAGAGAGAAGTTTTACATCTGTTTAGATGTTACACACACACACACGCACCTGAACCCATTTTAGCGTCATTCACATGGCAGCTAAATTGGGTGTTATTGCTTTGAGAAATACCCACATACTACCCAAAAAAATAGAACCCTGTCCATAATGTCTTGTAGCGAGGCTTTTGGAACACCCAAACGTACACATGAAACACTCTTCACCGTTAAGACAATATGTGGAAAGCAAATGAGCGATATTTATGGCCACTGGGCATTCAAAATCATGGGGGGAGAAAAAAAAACTCACCCAGCCTCCGATGGACAGCGTCAAAGGTGACGACTGCATCATCGCTGGTTTCCCAGTGGTACACGGGCGACAGCCCCAAGGCCATGGCAAGTGAAACTGAAGCGACCCATTAGTCGCAGGGGTGCCAATTTTGGTAGGAAAGAGATTTCAATGGGTAAAGTGGTAAAGTCAACGATAAGTATGGAAAATGATAGGGATTGATGGAAAATGATAGGGATTCAACTTTTCAAACAACAAGTTGCTGGTGGTTTGGGGTGGTAGCTACCGCAAATAGAGACTCTGTTCATCCCAGAGCATACATGGTGTATCCTCCATTTCTTGGGCAAACCTCAAGAAGCACTGAGTCGCTGAGCTCGCTGGGATCCAACTGAGAGATTCCAGGTGTAGTTGGTTGCCCTGTGTATCTGCAAAGGTCCATGGCATGGTGGATCTGTGAGCCAGAGCTGGGCAGGATGGCGCAGGTAGTGACATTTGGAGTCAAGGAACATGGCCTTGGAACAACAGGCTGTCGCGGTATGCACCTCTTTGCTCGGACCACATTGGCCATCCAAGTGCTTAGCCATCTTCGTAGACCTTCCGGTGAATGCTGCAAATGCTTGTGTTTGGCACAGATATGAAGGGAGATGACCACGACCACGCCTAACCCTTATATTAAGTTGCCTTTCTAACCCTTATACTGCAAATTCATTACCATTACACGCATGCTTTTCTAACCCCATGGGGAATCTAACCCTTAAATAAAAAATTGTTAACCATTACTAGGTGTACTAACCCTAACCACTAACCTTACTAGGTGATTTGTTTTTTTTTCCTTTTTGTTCCTCTCCTTTTTCCTTTTTGTTCCTCTCCTTTTTCCTTTTTGTTCCTCTCCTTTTTCCTTTTTGTTCCTCTCCTTTTTCCTTTTTGTTCCTCTCCTTTTTCCTTTTTGTTCCTCTCCTTTTTCCTTTTTGTTCCTCTCCTTTTTCCTTTTTGTTCCTCTCCTTTTTCCTTTTTGTTCCTCTCCTTTTTCCTTTTTGTTCCTCTCCTTTTTCCTTTTTGTTCTTCTCCTTTTTCCTTTTTGTTCCTCTCCTTTTTCCTTTTTGTTCCTCTCCTTTTTCCTTTTTGTTCCTCTCCTTTTTCCTTTTTGTTCTTCTCCTTTTTCCTTTTTGTTCCTCTCCTTTTTCCTTTTTGTTCCTCTCCTTTTTCCTTTTTGTTCCTCTCCTTTTTCCTTTTTGTTCCTCTCCTTTTTCCTTTTTGTTCCTCTCCTTTGTCCTTTTTGTTCCTCTCCTTTTTATTTGTTCCTCTCCTTTTTCCTTTTTGTTCCTCTCCTTTTTCCTTTTTGTTCTTCTCCTTTTTCCTTTTTGTTCCTCTCCTTTTTCCTTTTTGTTCCTCTCCTTTTTCCTTTTTGTTCCTCTCCTTTTTCCTTTTTGTTCCTCTCCTTTTTCCTTTTTGTTCCTCTCCTTTTTCCTTTTTGTTCCTCTCCTTTTTCCTTTTTGTTCCTCTCCTTTTTCCTTTTTGTTCCTCTCCTTTTTCCTTTTTGTTCCTCTCCTTTTCCTTGGTTGGATCCAAACTAGGAGGTCAAGGACCAAACTGAGAAGGCAGTTGCTACTTGCAGCTAAGTGGGCAACCGACAAAGCAGGCGGCAGTCAAGAATCATCTGCGTAGCTTGAGTTTCTGGCCACTCCCGTCAAATTTCCAGGTTCCCCGTCAAATTTCCAGGTTCCCTGTCAAATTTCCAGGTTTCCCGTCAAATTTCCAGGTTTCCCGTCAAATTTCCAGGTTTCCCGTCAAATTTCCAGGTTTCCCGTCAAATTTCCAGGTTTCCTTCAGTTTCCATTCAGATTTCGAAGTTTCCTTCAGCTTCCCGTCAAATTTCCAGGTTTCCCGTCAAATTTCCAGGTTTCCGTCAAATTTCCAGGTTTCCCGTCAAATTTCCATTTCCAGGTTTCCCGTGAAATTTCCAGGTTCCCCGTCAAATTTCCAGGTTTCCCGTCAAATTTCCAGGTTCCCTGTCAAATTTCCAGGTTTCCCGTCAAATTTCCAAGTTTCCCGTCAAATTTCCAGGTTTCCGTCAAATTTCCAGGTTTCCCGTCAAAATGTCCTGGCCCTCCCGTCATCAAATTCAGGTTTTTCCAGGTTTCCCGTTCAAACATTTCCAGTTTCCAGTCAATTTCCAGGTTTCCCGTCAAAATTTCCCATTCCAGGGTTTCCCGTCAAATTTCCTGGTTTCCCGTCAAAATTCCCTGTTCCGTCAAATTTCCAGGTTTAACGTACAAAAATTATTTCCAGGTTTCCGTCAAAATTTCACAGGCTTTCCGTCAAATTTCCATTTCTAGGTTTAACGTGTCAAATTTCCAGAGTTTTCCAGGTTTCCCGTCAAATTTCCAGGGTTTCCGTCAAATTTTCAGGGGTTTTTCCGTTTCAAATTTCCAGGTTTCCCGTCAAATTTCCAGGTTTCCGTCAAATTTCCAGGTTTCCCGTCAAATTTTCAAGTTTTCCAAGTTTCCCATCAAATTTCCAGGTTTCCCGTCAAATTTCCAGGTTTCCCGTCAAATTTTCAGGTTTCCGTCAAATTTCCAGGTTTCCGTCAAATTTCCAGGTTTCCCGTCAAATTTCCAAGTTTCCGTCAAATTTCCAGGTTTCCCGTCAAATTTCCATTTCCAGGTTTCCCGTGAAATTTCCAGGTTTCCCGTCAAATTTCCAGGTTTCCAGTCTAATTTCCAGGTTTCCCGTCAAAGGCCAAAATTTTGATGTTAAGATCAAACAAAATTTGGATGTCAAGGCCAAAATTTGGATGTTAAGGCCAAATTTTGGATGTTAAGACCAAAATTTGGATGTTAAGGCCAAAATGTGGATGTTAAGGCCAAAATGTGGATGTTAAAGGCCAAGTTTGGATGCTAAGAGCCAAGGTTTGATTGGGGGCCTGGGAAAGGAGGGTGCTGGGGCGCGGCTGTGGAGTAGGTTTGGTGCGCGCCCGTGGGGGACTGGCAGGGCAAGTTCTAAACGACCTTCGTCGCTTCTTGCTGGAGCCAAAACGCCAAACCCCGGGGTTTTGGATGCAACATTTTTGTGTCCAGATATACAAGGAACATGTTGTTGTTGCAAACTGATTTCATCACATTATTCCTTAGGACTGCTGCTTTTAGGCTTAGAGGTTAGTGAAATGCACAATATTGTGGTTAGTGAAATACACAATATTGAGGTTAGTGAAAATATAAGGGTCAAGAATTTTTTTGTGGTTAGCAAAATCTACCTTGTTGGGGTTAGGCAAAGATCTCTTGAGGTTAGCAATTTGGCTTGTAAGGGTTAGAAGTGCGTCTCTGCTGAATTTGGTCCTCAAGGCACTGAACGAATACATATGCATAGTGTTTTTGATGTTTTTGCGTTAATTGTTAATATAAAAGCCTACGTCAACATGCCTGTGGTGTATCACATTCAGAAAGATAGACTTCAGCTGGTCCTTCTGAGCATGGACCAGCTGATCTTTGGGATTTGCGCTTTGTGTAGATCTTCTTCTGGCTTTAGTTGTCCATCACTTTTGGGACTTGCAGTTTGGTCATCATGATGGTCATCAATTCCCTGGTGAACATCAAGCCATGGCAAGGACGCCCTGAGGCTCCCGCAGCTTGCATCAAGGAAGCGCTTCAGGACCAGGCCACCACGTCGCAGAATGGAACCTTTGGCGGCTTTAGACCTGGCTGATGCTGGGTGGATGCGACAACCTGGGCGATGACCCAGCACTTTCAAGGAGGGTCAAAGCC